TAAATATAATTAAATATATGGAAAGATGCATCATGGTGAGAAATACACACCTATTACTACTCGTTCATTTGCCTCAACATGCATGAATGAGTTTGAGCAACTTCGGTTGATTACTTAGGTTCTAATTTGGCTGAGTAGATCGCACGAGTAGAGTATCTTTGCAAAGTAGTATTTTTCGTTTCTCACCGTTCATTTTACGCAAAAAAGTTATCTCTATCTATCTATCCATCTATCTATCTTTCTATCTGTCTATTTCTTTTTCTGACACATTCAAAACTAGGTGTGTATATATATACATATTTATATAGACATATTTATATATTCATCTAAACATACATGCATACATATATATAAACTCATACATAGACACATGAGTTCTAAGAAAAGCAGCCTAGTTTTCTTTCCCTTGTTTTTAGTTTTTCTTTACTTTACTTGTTCTGTTTTTCTTTCTTTTTTTCTTTTTCTTTCTCCATTCTTTTTTCCTTTTCTTATCTTTTCTTTTCTGTTTTTTTTTCCTCCCGAGATTCTGCATTTTCTTCCATAAGGGAACCGTTGAAAGATTCGACATTTCTCTTAGCTGAAGAAAAAAAAAAACGTCGAAGTGAACGTGAGTGAGCAAGAAGAATGGATCGGGTTGGGTGCTTCAGAATCTTCGTGATAAACTCCCCGAAAGGTACTTGAGAATTTTTTACGACATCCTTCCGAATATAAAAGAGAAAAATTGTCTACTTCCTATCTTCCTTTTCTTTCTCTCTCAATCTTTTTCTGCCTATCTCCTCTTTCATCATTATATTTAATTTTATTCCAATATTTTTTTTCTATCAAAATACGTTTTACATACATTCAATATTTTTACTATACATATAAAATTAATGATCATTCTTTGAAATACTTATGTTCTTTAAAAAAATTATCAACAATTTAAATATATATTGTTAAAACATTGAATACTTGTTTTACTAAAAAACAAATATTGATTTTCAAATGAATTTTTATAGAATGATTCTTTCATTTGATTTTGCACAGAATATTATTTTATGTTTCGTTAGAAATTAAACGAAATACAAAAACAAAAAAAAAATAAATAATAACAAGTAGTTAATTGTTGTAATAACAATTTAAAATATGTCTACGTATTACTATAAAGCAAAACCGGTGTTCAATGTGTAACCAATTAAATATTTAAAAATTATGAAAAATTAAATAATTAATTATCATCATGTGTTAATTACATCTATTCGAGTAACGAAATTATAAATTGTTCTATAATATTGTTGATAATATATTTATATTAATTAATTAATTATTAACATATAGAAATAGTAAATAAACTCACATTAAAAGATACGTTTACTCGTCACAAGATTCGAAAACAAATTAAACGTAGTTTGTTTATTATCGAATGTATCTAAAGCCATGTTTACATTATACCAAACGTTTCACGCAGAAACTATTTACCAAAATATAAACTAAATCGAAAATGTAAACATTACGACGAGATATTATTATTGAAATGAAAACCAATCAATTAACGATAAATCGTATAAAACACTCACGTAATTTCCATTCGTTTTCTTTCAACATTCCATCTCGTAAAATATTGCTCCTTCTGAAAAAAATATAAGAAGAAAAAAATAAACAACAATACATCACGTAAAATACATCATCGATTATCTCAAGAACAAAACGTTGGATATTAAAAAAAGAAAAAAGAAAAAAGAAAAAATGACAAAGAAGCGAATGTAAAATTTCTCGAAGAATAAATGTCTAACATTTTCTCGAGTAACAAAGAACAACACAGGTAAACGTGTTCTATAACAAACTCACCACGCATGTGTACATACATATAAATAATACATAGACATTTTCACGCGTTATCGCGTTTAACACGCGATATTTTACGACAAAAAAGGGCCAAAAAGGTACTAACACATAAAGAGAAAGAATAAGAAATAAAAAGTTGTATAGTTACGTACGATGATAGTAGACGTTGAAAGAACGCAGGACGCGTTCACGGTTATGTATCGTAAAAAGTGACATAAGGTGGATAGGTGAGAATGTACGGAAGGGTGTTGTTACTTCGAACGGTCGAAAAGCTTTGTGAAAATATATATGTACATACATACATGGAAACATAGATACACATACATATGTATAAATAAAGGATGAAAGCATGTTAGATGAAAGATTGTGTCGTGCTAGTCTCAAAAGATATCCCTGCCGAACGTTGTCATAAGTTATAATGCTACTCGCATATCAAACGATTTCTTATACGATGTTTCTACCTTCGTGTAAACAGAACTGTCGCTCGTAAAAGTCGTCGTCGCGTCATGTAACAACGCCCATTTGCACCTTGTAATGGTGACAATAGCTACATGTATACACGTTTCCACTTTTTATCTATGTATAAGTGTTTTTATGTGTATTTATATATGCATGCATGTATACATGGGTATGAAAAAGAAGATATATATATATAAGTGTGAAGAATAAGTGAGAAAGAGAGAGAGAGAGAGAGAGAGAGAAAATCGTTCTTCTCTTTCCTCTTATCATTCGTATTTTGTCGTCAACCCCCGACGACTATCTCTCGTGATTTGCTTTATCGTCTCGTAAAAAGCAAAAGCTAAAAATGGTAGTCAAATACGTAACGAAGGAATCAGAAAGAGAAAGAGAACATGCTCGTCAACAGTTTTCTCTCTCTTTCTCTTTCCTACGAGTTTATGGTATTCCCTTGAGAACGTTCTTGGTTGGAACGTTTTAATGCACGAGATAGCTCCGAGCTATTCGAAAATCATATAATTCTACTTTTGCTATCCTCTCCCTCTCTTTTTTTCTTTTTCTTTTTTTTTTTCCCTTACTTTCGAACATTTCTTTTTTCTTGTTTTATTTTTATTTGTATTTGTAATTTTGAATATATATATATATATATATATATATATATATATATATATATATATGTGCATTTATACACTCATTGCATTTTTGTTTTTCTTATTTTATGAACAAGTATGAAAATACGGTTAACTTGCAAATAATTCATTGAGATTTGTCAGAGTTTAGTCAAAATTTGATCACTGTATTTTAGCTTATTTTTGTTTTGATTCAGTATTTTATTAATATTTTGTAAAATACGAATATTTTCAATTCAATGATTCATTTATTTATTGTTGAAAATTTGGTTGAACTTACTGCATTTTCATTATAACCTTTATGTACAACCATTGGTATTTAAATGGTATCGAAATGATTAAAATAATATGTCAATTAGAAAATAACAAAAGTTAGTTTTAAAAATATCTAAATTGTGTATAAAAAAGATAAATTCGTTTAGACAAAATTTACTACTGTAGTAAATTGTTCAACAATTCAACTAAAACAAGTATTTCTATATAATTTCAATGTGTTTAAATAAATCATTTGGTAGAGAAAATAATTTCGAATAATTCAAAAAAAAAAAAAAGAAAAGAAATATTTCATACAAAATAACAAGTGTTCTGAAATGATTCATCAACAGTGTATACATAAACTAAAGAAAAATATTTGTAGTAATTTTCCATTCACACATTTTTATGTATCATTCCAATCCTATATTTTACATATCAATTAATAAAATAAATATAATCATACCATGTCAATTTGATCAACAACAACAACAAAAGAGGAAAAATGAAAAGAAAACAAAACCAATTCGACTTGAAATAAAAAAAATAAAAAATAAAATAAAAAAGAAAACACACACACATACACATGAACGAAATAATATTGTAATACTTTTCTGAAGTAATTGTCAATTAGTAGAGGCGTTCAAGTTCATTTCCTATTTTTTTTTTTCAATTTTTTCATTTTTTTTTTTCACGTTTACGTCATAGCTATCACGTCGTGCATACGCTCGTTACGTTTAAAGAACGGAGTAGAAAGGAAAATAAAATGGAGTAAAAAAGGGGAAAGCAATTATCCTCGGACGATGGTTTACATTCGTGAGAAGAGAGAGAGAGAGAGAGAAAAGAATAAACGAGGCGTTTCAACGTTCTCTACTCTTTCTTCAAATTTTCCTCTGTTAGCTGAAAAGTTCAATGTTCGCCATTTTTCTCTTTCTCTTTCTCACTGTATTTCTCTCTCTCCCTGTTTTTATCTTTTTTTTCACCCCTCCACCTACTTCTGTTCTTCTTTCTTTTTCTTTTTTTCTTTTTCTACTTCTCTTTCTCTATTCCTTTATTTCTCCTTTTTTTTTCTTTTCTCTTTTCATTCACCACACAAGTCATCGTCAAAGAACGATGCGAAGCAAACAGGTAAAAAACACGCCTTTCGAAAGGATAGAAAAAAAAGGGAGAGAGAGAGAATGAGAGAAACGATTCGTTGCATGAGATGGTTTGAGAAATGAGAAAAATAGAGTGAAAGAAAACATGAACTAAAGAACGAAAGGACGAATGAACGAACGAAAGATTCAAATCCGTCAAGCATCGAAACTACCCTGGGTATTTTTCCCGATAATTTTTGTTTCTCTCTTTCTCTTTCTCTCTCTCTCTCTCTCTCTCTCTCTCTCTCTCTCTCTCTCACTCTCTTATTTTCATCCTTTTATAAAATCCGTCCTGAAATAAAAAATGATTTTTTTTAACGAATATGTTTTTTCTTTTATCTTTGTATCTGTTATATAAGATTATAAAATGATTTATATTGTATTAACATTCTATTTCTAATCGAATTAAATTAACTTGTTTTATTGAATTCATTTATTTTATAGTATTAAATAAATAAACGTTTTCATATTTAGTTGTATAATATTTTAAATAAATAGTATATTTTTATAATATTTATAATATAATATTAATATGTAATCTGTATCAATACGTAGACCTCTGACGTATATATATATATATATATATATAAACTCATATTAAATTATAAATACTATAATTATTTTATTTAAAATATTCAGGAATATATAATATTCATATCTGTACGTAATTAAATCAATAAAAATGAAATTCACACATATCAATTTTTATTTTTAAAACAAAATCAAATATATTTCATTTTTTTGTTTTCATTGAAAAATCAAACACAACGTGGAACATTTTTGATATTTAACAATTGTATTTTATTTTTAAATAAAAACATATACGATTTTTGTGAAATAAAATTTGATTCGAAACGTACGATTAAATATAAGCAAATAGGTGAAAAAAGGTAACATGGATTGCAATTTAGGACTTGTAAAAAATGTTTTAATTATTTTTTTTTTTCAAATAAAAATATACGATTTTGAGATAGAAAATAAAATTGAAAGATAAAATTGAAAAGGTACGATTAGATAAAAGCGAATAGGTGAAACAATATAACATAGATTCGAGTTTAAGATTATCAGTGAACTTGAATATCGTGTCTCTCACGTTTTAAGCGGTCCATCGTTGTTGGTTAGGGTCAACTGTGCTTGCATTATTGTTTCACGAATACAAAAGCGAACGTATAAATAAGCCGCACAACCGAGCACAACGGATCATCATCCTTTGCAACGTGAACGCATATACGCGTTCTCTCTACGGCCAACATTATGAATCTGTAATTTCTAGTGTATGTATGTAGGTGTATGTCGCATATGTTACAACCCAGAGACATGTTTTCACATATATACTAACAAACGTTATCGACACTACCCTCTTCTTCCTTCTACACCCTTTCTTCGCCATCCCCTTACATCTTTTTTCGGAATTTAACAGCGGAGAATAATTTTACTTTATTTCTTTGTCTTATGATGTTAACAATAAATAGAAATTGTTCTTGTTATTTTGAAATATTAATTTTACGCAATTATGATATAATAATAATAATTATTATTATTCGGAGAATTTGATTGGTCTATAATTTCTTATTAAAAAATGTCTAAGGTTTTTATCATGGTATAAATTTACAAATTATAATAAATTATATACGTAAAGTTACAATTACACACAATTGTACTTTATAATTTTTATTTTTGATACTTGAAAAAATCTGAATTATCATAAATAATACGATTATTACTACTTCGATTTATTAACCGCACGTATCGATGATATTAAAAGAAAAAAAGAAAAGATCGATTTCTATAAAAATAAATCGCTTATCGGAAAACGAATGAACCTTTATTTTTAATGCTTATAAACGCAATTTTGTTCTTCTATATTTTTTATTTTTTCATTTCGATGACACAGCAAAAATTAACTCAAACGTGAGGTTACTCTCGCGTGCGTATTAGTGAGCTTCAATGAAAACCGCTGTACGTATAAGTGAACTTCAATGCAAACCGTTGTGCGTTTAAATTTGCGGCCTGGCAATAAGAGTGAGAAAATTAAGTGTAAAAAGAAGGGACGATACTTTTCTTCTCTCAGTTTAATAAGCTGCAAGATAATCGAGTCACTTCGTTAGATACTGAACTGGGTCGGTTACTATCGTTGTCGTTGTCGTCATTGTCGTCGTGTACCAGAATTCGTTTTGTAGTCGTTGCTAGATCGACAAAATTTCATTCAAGGTTTTGCAATTGTAAAGAACGACGAACGACGCTAGAAAAAAAAAGAGAGGAAAAACTAGGATTATGAACGAAAAAGAAAAAAAAAACAAGAAAAGAAATAA